AAACAACTTCCTCTATTTAATGAATTTCATTTATCATTAAGACCCAACCCCAATATACCACCAGTTACATCAAGGGTTACACAAAAGACAAAATACTTGGTCTAAAAAAGTAGACAACCAGTTGAATAGAACAAATATTCAAACATACTAAAATCAAGAAATAACAATGCTTTACCAGTACAAAAAAATAGAAAAAAAATAAACAAAGAGCAACCACAGATTGTCGTAAAAAAACATGTAGCTATTATAATATCTCCCTCGTTCAATTTATAATAAGAAAAACATGTAGCTATTATATATATAAAAAAATGAGTAGTTCTAGCAAATGCACCTGAAGACAAAGAAAAATAAGTACACTCCAGACTGTCATAATTATTGCAAAGAGCAACCACAGCTTTCTCAACCACTCTGGTCTCAAAAAACCCTCCCTTATATTAACCTCAAGAACTAAACTAGAGTAAAAATTGGTGCCTTCTCAAGTACCGGAGCTCTGAGCACACAAAAAAAGTTAACATTGATTAAGGAGATGAAACGGTAACTTTGAATGCCTAATGGTATGATGGCAACAGAGAAAGGTATATGGATGAGAGAAGGAGATAAAAAAAAAAATTAATGCTAAGGATGGAGAGGGAAAAAAAAGTGGAAGAACTCACCGTGACTATTGAACCAAAGGAGAATACGAAACTGCACACAGCAAAGGAACCAAAATGGCTAGGTAAGGAGATGAAATGGTAACTTTGAGAAGAAGATGAAATGTGTCCCCAATGGTACGACAGCAGCAGATAAAGGGATATGGATGAGAGAAGAAGATGAAAAAAAAAAGGATAGAGAGAGAAAGAAAGTAGAAGAACTCACGTGACTATTAAATCAAATAAATTGTGACCTTTAGATTTAAAATAAATGTAAGGTGGAGATGATGAGTAAGACTTTAAGTCTTACTTTGGAGTTAAAAGATCCCTCCATATATATATATATATATATATATATATATATATATATATATATATATAGAGAGAGAGAGAGAGAGAGAGAGAGAGAGAGAGAGAGAGAGAGAGATAGGATCCGTTTACAAATTTTTTTTGCAAATTACACTAAGTACGACCGGTCGTACACTTCATAATTAAAGTATGACCGGTCGTACTTAGTGTAGTTTGTAAAAGTTTGTAAACAAAAAAGTTTGTAAATATAACCTGCCTCGTATATGTATATAACTTATATTGATGGCATGGTCATGCTAATCATTGTGTTCGAAGGACGAAGCCAATTAATCACTAATGATCTTGGAGCGCCAAGAATTTTGCTTAGAATATATTTAAAAAGAGCAGTGAGCAGTTTGGTATCGTCTTTTTACAATTTGCTTGTGATCGACGTTACAGTTTGACAAGTTGCACTTTTCAAATAAAACCGAAAACTAAATAGGAAAAATTTGGTGTGAATGTAGTTTTGCAATTTACCGCCACAAATGCAATTATCTTCTAAATATTTGTAACACAAATGCAATTGTTTGTTTTCCTTTTTTTATTTTTTATAAACCACATATATTCTTCACATGAGTCAATTTTGTTTGGAATGGATCAAGAATTAAAATTTTAAACTTCTCCTAAAGATGGTACCAAAGATAATCAAACATTGTTTGTTTTCCTTAAGTCATATAATTTGTTCAAAACCTATCAATTATTAATAGAAACAGTTGATCACTTAATTAATGATGGTTTATTTCAAACTTCGAGAATGATTATTACCATTTAGGATTGGTTTAATAATGAGGGATTTGGATAATATTTATGAGAGGGTAGATTCTAACCACAATGCCCACGATTATATATATAAAAAAAATTGATTACCATTAAGAGATGGAACTCAATATTTACTCTAGTTTTTGTGTGTAAATATTTACTCTAATTTTAAATTAGGATACAGTTATTTTCATATTAAAATAAAGAATTTGTCAATAGTCCAATGTACCCTTTATTTCAACGAAGAATTAGTCAACTAGCCTTAAGAGCCATACTCTGATAACAAAGTGACTGAAGGAGATTGTATGAGAATATCTCCAGATTATTTATAAAAAATAAATAAATAAAGAACTTGAGAGATTTCTCGTACACACTTCATACTTCACCGTTCTCCATTTCCTAATTCGTATCATCCCAACAAGTAACAACTGAACTATAAAACGAGTCAGATCTGGTTAAATTGCATTTTTAACGACAATAAAAAAAATGTCAATTTAGACCAAGCTCGCGTTAGGTCATGACAACTTGGACTTGGCCTAATTTCGTAAAAAGTTTGGATGTAATTTCCAAAAAAAAATAAAAAAAAAATAAAAAAACCTGGACTAGGCCAACATTAGGTTGCCTTGGTCATTTAGACCAAGCTCGCGTTAGGTCATTTATAATTTTTTTCTTTTGCCTTTAAATAAATTATTTAAAGTTTTGTAGTCTTATTTACTAAAATCAATTTTGTTAATAATTTTTTATAAGATAAAACAGCTAATTAAAAAAAAAGTAGTTAAAATATTTTTTTTTCTAAGAAAAAAATGTTTAGCAGGCTGCCTCACGAGTTAATAGACTCCAACTAAATTAACTCGTGAATTAAACAAACTAGTTATAAACTAACATTTAAATAAACTTACAAAATATTTATTCCTAACATAGATAGATTATAGGTTAAATGGAGTGGATCACAAAGGAGATAAGGCAAGATGTGTGGTCTCTTATGTGGAATTATTTTGTATTGGTATGACCATCAGTTTAGATTCCCCGCGCCTTCGCTAAGCAGAGAACAAATTATAGAACAAAACCAACGCAAAAATATGATACGATTGCAGCTCCCAGTTACAATTGTATCATTAATGATAGTTTTTATTTGAAATTTGAATTTTATATTACAGCTAGATAGTTTGATTATTTTTGTATTTTAATTGTGTAACAGTAGGATAAGTTTTTATAACTTAGGATTTGAATTATGTAACGGTCTTGTTAAGAACCTTGAGGTCACCACCCCAAAAGCTAGCTTAAAGGGTGAGAGTGTACAAGGCCTTATAAACCTCACATTAGTTGCCCCATACAACTAATGAGGAATTATATTTCTCAATACGCCCCCTTACACGAGAGCCCATTGGACTTGAAGGGTGGACAACATACAAGCCCACTTACATGTGAAAATTCCACTATAAAGAAAGTGGGAGGCGGTGTGGAAATTTCACTACAAAGAAAGTAGGAGGCGGTGAGATTTCGAACGCTCTGATACCATGTTAAGAACCTTGAAGTCACCACCCAAAAGTTAGCTCAAATGGGTGGGAGTGCCCAAGATCTTATAAACCTCACGCTCATACAACCAACGAGTGACTATATTTCTCAACAGGTCTTAAGATTGGTAACTGTAAGCTTAGAATTTGAATTATGTAACTCGTGTAAACAAGCTTTTTTTTTTTTTTTGGATACACCATTGTTTACATGAGTTACACATAATTCAAATGCTAATTAAGCCTACTGTTACACAATTCAAATGCTAAGACTGTTACATAATTCAAATCTTAAGTTATAAAGCTTTATCTTGAAGTTACACAATTTAAATATAAAAATAATCAAACTGTCACAAAAGTCAAATCTCAAACAAAAACTATCACTATGCTATAATTGTAACTATCATTAATCTGTAACACAATTCAAATGTGAAAATAATCAAACTGTCACAAAATTCAAAATTCAAACAAAAACTAGCAGTAATGCTATAATTGTAACTATTATTAATGTTGTATGTGTAATTATCATTAATTCTGCAACTATAAATATGAACTGCAATTGTAACAAAATAGCTTCAACTTCCACGAGAATCAATTGTTATCACTTGAGCATTAAAAAAAGATATTTTTTGTGACATTCTTTTCGCCGGCTGTATTCTTCTAATAATGTGTGTAACCCGTGTGCAAGTTTGAAATTTAAAATGAAGTGAAAAATTGAAAAGAAAAGTTTGAATCATTTTATTTCTAGATTCTTTCTTTCTTACTTTCTTCCCATATTTGTATTAAGGATATTATGATCAACTTATACCATTATTAAAAAATATTACGTATATATATATATAGAGGAAGGATATTTTGACTACCAAAAATTTTCACTACCACCATACTACCTATCTAATCACCATTGGATTAACATTTTCTCTCTCTTCAAAAACTTTTTAACATTCTCTCTCTTTGATCCAATGGTGATTTAATAGGTAGTAAGGTGGTAGTGGACACTTTTGGTAGACAAAATATCCCCCCTCATATATATATATATTATGTCCTACACTCAAATTAGTAAGAACCCTTGCTTGACGATTGGGGTGAAGGACCCTCTTATATGTCATAACTGCCTAAGAGTCCCCAAAGCGGTCTAGAATTTTCCCCTTAGTTAATGGGTTCTATTGCTAATGGGCCTAAGCCTAAATAGCATATCTAGAACATATCCAACATTAACTATTGATCCGATAGTATTTAATTATTTAGTATCTAATAACAAAGATTATTAGGTACAAATTGATCATCAATTAACATGGAGTGCGTAACTTTCATCGTGTAAAATGATGTTGTCTATGTATATGTAAAAAGATCCGGTTATGTTGATTTTGAAGTGAAACTGAGGTGATTGGATTGCGCAAATGATAATTGAAAAGATGGTGATGCCCGAGAGGTTACTAAGATTGAGGATTTGGATTCCACTCCAAGAGAGGTGAATGTGGTTTAAAACATACCGGTGCTTAATCTTTACTTTGTTACTTTAAGATTACTGAAATGTGGGCATTTCTTTGCTTTTCTGCCATATGGTATTGTTGCTAAGGCTATTTTTATTATTATTATAAAAAAATAAAATCAGTAGTTTTATAGTCACCGTTCTCTCTGTTCAGCAATTTCTTCTTTCTTCTTTCTTCTTAATGCTCTTGATGTCCCAAAGTATTAGCACAGATATTCACAAAGGTTATATAATTAATTTCTATAATATTTCTTAACCATGATATACAACAAATAAAAACTAGAAAATATGAACTAAATTAACTAGTGTGATTTCCAAGGGAAACACTGCAGGTTAGAACAAGACTCTGTCCATGTGCTTGTGCAGGCACCTTCAATCCCATCACAACACTTGCAAACAACTCCAAGTGTTGCAAAAATCTTTGAGTACCCTGAAATTACATCAAGCACAATGAGCAATTATATATAGCACAAGGCACAAGCATGAGAAACAGATGATCAAGTGAATAAGAGAAAAGAGTAATTCTGAAAGTTCTTATTAACCTTGATGAGATATTAAGGAAAGTGCCCTTCCTTCTACAACTGAAGGTTTCTCTGAGATTGAAACAACCAAGACTATTAACAGCACGAGCACATGAAGCTTTTTCATACCCATGTCTTGTATTTTTGTTGGTGAGCTTCAAAAAATCTGAGAGGTTTAAGAGAGCTCCGAAGAATTGAGGGGTTTCGAAGACTATAAAAACTCCAAGATGGGGGGGTTGCCTAGGAAGTTTCTGAACAATATGATTGTTATTACGATATTCACAAAATGGAAAAACTTATAATAAAACTGACAGTGACAGCGAATAAGAAAAATTAGATGTGATACAAAGAGGGGTGATTCAGTTTCAGAACATTATTTTTAAAATAAGAAAAATTGTGAAAAAATTATTATTTTTTATTCCATTCAACCAACTAATCTTTTATAATAAAACGATAATACATAATAATAATCAATTGATTAAATTTTAGTCTAATCCTAATACATTATTAAATAATCCTAATTAATGTAATTATAATTAATTAATATCAGTCTAATTATTTTATTAATACTAGTTGATATCCATCATAATTTTATGATATCAATCAAATTATTATGAAATATATTTGTTACATGCAGGCTTAGTTTTGTGAGATTTTATTAATATGTTCTCTAGAAGAAAGGGTGGTTTAAAGGTCTTGTCTTTTTTCAATTGGATTGTGATAGCTTGAGATGTTGGGTGGGGTTGGCTTCTGGAAGAGACACAGAGATCATGCCACACGTTTCCTACTCCATCACGTCTCCATGGAGATGACTTAGAAATTGGATGCTGGCGAAACCTTTTTGTTTTTTCGTCTATATTAAAGTTAAGTGGGGCCCTATTTTCTTCGCGCGAGCAAGGATACAAAAATTATACGGCTACCTAGATCCTACTTGAGTGTGGGAACTCCTCTAAGTTTATTGGAACTTAGTCCTAAAAAATATAAAAAACTATAAAAGTGGCAAAATTATTTTATACTAATGTATATTATATTTCAATAAATTAAAGCAGAGGACATTATTCTTTTGTGTAATATGATGGTCCGTATGTGTAAGTATTAAGGAAGTTGACTATTGCTTTACATGTCCGCACAATGATCTGTTTATAAGAATAAGGGATGCGAGATTTATTTTCATGGTCTGGATCATGTGGTCCCTTAATATTATAGAGGGGTAAAATGAGAAAACAATTAAAAATTACGAGCAAAATGAAAAATTAATGTGAGAGGGAATACAAAATTATTCAATGGTCCATGACCATAAAATTATTTTCCCAACGATGCAGGGTATTAGGGGTAGGCTTCCATAGAGTATGATTTAGGTATTAGGTGTTTAATCCTTTGTTTATGCATGTGAGCTCCCTTAAATAGTTGTTGCTAGTATAACGAGGATCATACCGTGATAGGGTTGCGTCTGGCAAGAGGAGTTCACGGTAGAGATTGTCATTTATAGATTAAGTGAGCAACGATATTAACTAGTTTTATATACCAGAGTCAAACCCAAATCTTAAGGCATTAGGTGCATGGGTTCTTCTATTTATATGGTACTCACTTAATCCATTGTTAACCAATATGAAGTTTTAGTCACTCACACTTGGATTCCTCAACATCTCTCCCTCAAGTGTGGGTCCTAGGCGCACATTCTTTTCCCCTTAAGGAGAAACTTCTTCGAGTATTTATTGGGTTCATCAATGCTTGACTTCTCATCAAAATTGGCTCTTCCATCAAGGCTTAGCTACACTCATTAACACATTGGCTTCTCATATCTTCAAATACTCTGATCACCACAAGTCAATCCACCATTGACTCTGATAACATTGTTAGGACGGGGTCCAATGATTCGCGCGGAAAAAGTTTATCGATCAACTATCACGAGCTTTCTGCCCGACACTACTAGCTTATTGGTCAGTACTACAAGCTTTACCGTCCGACACACACACAATCAGACAGTCTTAAGTCTTCAAGCTTACCCCTCAGCAATCCAGTCTTACCAATCGACAATTTAGTATTGTCAGTCGGCCAACACAAACAAATAATAGTAATCGACCAGTCAAGAAACACAGAAACAAGAAAATATAAGAGACGAGAAATAGAGATAAAGGCCCTACAAATTTTAACATGAAAAACCTCCTCTAAGGTAGATGAGTAAAAATCATGGGATACTAGTCCAGAAAATCTTCCACTATGAAACAGTAGGATTACAAAGGATTCAAACTTCCCTAGTCACATTAGATATACACTCAAGCTTCACCAACAATGATGGTTATAAAGATCTTCTCTAAAGAATATCTCACTCAAACTTCTCTTCAGAGGATTCACACACTCATAGAATGTCTGCACCTTGTCATAAGAGGTTTTGTTTGCTTAAAAAAGTGAGGAGAACCTTACACCTTCTTCTAGAGTCTTCATCAATAATTAGGTGGACAACATTCATTGAGATAGTTGTGTTCAGACATTGAGTCATGTACCCATAAATGAAGTGCCAGCCTAGCCACCAAGCATCAAAGAAGGAACACAGCCTAACAAATCTCCCCTTACGACTTTAATGCTCAGGGTTCAGTAGTCGGGCACCTTGACAGCAATCTTTAAATTTCCTTGCTTCGACCCGCTTCGTCATCATATCTGCCCAATTCCAGTTGGTTTGCACCTTGGCTAGTTTAAGTTGTTTGTTTTCTTTCATCAACCGGATCTAGTGATATTTCACATCAATATGTTTCGTGCAGGAGCGATAGACAGAATTCTTTGCTAAGTGGATTTCACTCTGATTATCACACTTCAGCTCATACTTATCATACTCATGACAGAGTTCAAGGAGAAACTTCTTCATCCACATCATCTCCTTACAAGCTTCAGTCTCTGTTATGTACTCAACCTCAGTTGTTGATAGTGCAACAAATTTTTGCAATTTCGATTGTCAAAGGACAACACCTCTTGACAAAGTCATCAAATAACTGATAGTCGATCTTCTAGAGTCATTATCTCCCCCTAAATCAACATTCGTAAAGTATTCCATCTCGACTTTACCATCTCCAAAGCATACGCATAAGCTTGTCATTCCTTTGAGATATTTGAAAATCTACTTAACAGCTTCCCAGTGTTCTCGGCCTGGATTAGACAGATACCATCTTACCATTCCAACTGTTGGGTTTGCTCTTTTACTAAAGCCCAAATGGGTTATTAGTATGAGAAGAGCCCAAGGAACCTATAGCCCAATGAGCTAGGGTTTCTTGGAACCTATATAAATAGTACCTCTTAAGTCATCAACCTCCAAGGTCTTTTTTGTGAGAAAGAGGCAAGCTCAGAATCTAATCAGTGCCCACACACTTCCCCTTCCTCCTCGAGAGATAGTTTGGAAGATCTGCCACAGTCCAGCTTCAAGGAGGTTGTTCGTGTTGCGGCGCTGAGGTGAGCTGTTCGTGAAGAGGAATCCTACAAGGGAAGATTCTACACGAGACTTGCGCACCGAGAGGTAATTGTGAAACAAGGATGATTCGGTAAGCATACCAATGTACTAGGTCCTAAACCGCTTCCGCATAAATCTAAGATTTCCTTCAATTGGTATCAGAGCCTTGGCTGTACATTGGTATGTGAATCTAGTTTCACTATTCATGTAATTAGTTTTGCTTCTTGAAATGTGGCACCTAGGGTTCTATGATTATGGTATGAATCTAGCATGTGTATTTTATAATTCATTTTCATAAAAGTTTAAATTTTAATCGGTAAAAATGCTTTAATCCATGGTTAGGGTCTCTCGTGTATTTCTCGATTTGTAACAAGGAGGCTAATCTCATATGATTAGGTTTCCTCCTTACTGTTTTTGTTTATTTTTGGAATTTCTGTGTATTTTTTCAATATTTTGTAAAAGTTCAAGATCGAGAAATCGCGAGGAAGATGCGCAGTCAGCACTGTCGGAGACTTTTCGAGGACTTAACGATCTCGGAATGGGGCAATCTATATATGGTTGGAAAGAGGACGGAAAGATGAACGCAACGGTGGGTGGATCGCCGCCATCGAACCCTTAACGCTCCCCCACGCGCCTCCACAAGCGGCTGAGAGTGGTCGCCACTCTCCGGCAAAGAATTGGAGAGTGAGGGAGCGTCCGGCCACCTTTTTTGGGTGGTTCCGGCGGTGCACTCGTCTCTACGTGGCTAGGGTTCCGTCCGGTCATTCCCCTGGAGTTTCAGCCTGATTTAACTTCGGGTGATGGCGCGGCAGACCTGACGGCTAGGGTTCCTCTTTCACGTCCTAGGGTTTCTCGCCAAAGGATTGGGTCTTTGGGCTTTTGGGCCCATGGAAACCCTAAAGAGGCTTGAGACAGATACTATAGGCTAGGCGAAAGTCGAATTCCAAAGTTGTATTATTCAATTTAATTTAATTTTATTTTATTTTCTTTAAAATAGGAAGGCCATGGATTAAAGTAATTATGATTTATTATTTAATGCTTTTATTGATTGGTATAAATTATATGATTGATAACATGCTTTATTGCGATAACATGCCATATAGAATAGGTGGTGCCATATTGTTGCATAACTTGTATGATTGCATGAGCATAATAGCTATTATGTCTTCAGCGACTAGTATGATAGTTATTATGGGATTATTTTAATTTTAAATCATCCTAAGAAATTAATTAATAATTATTATTATTTTTATTAAAAATCTAGATTAATAATTGAATTAATTAATTTTGGATAATTAACATCAAGACAAATAATCGTTATGGAAATTATTTTGATTTCAAATTATCCTCATAAATGATAATTATTATGATTGTTGCAATCTAGATTAATAATTAAGTCAGCTATTTGGATGATTTAAATCTAGAAAAATAATTAGAGAAAATTTCCTAAGAGAATTCTTTTATTTTGCGAGTAATTTGTGGGTTTTCTGAAATGGTCATGGAATAACACACGCTGCATACAACATTCATGTATCATGATTGTTTGGAGCACACGCTGACGTAAAGTGACCGCATTTCAGGACCTTAATGCTTTCAAAATTATGTTAAGCTTAGTGCACGTTTATCGGCGCTCTTACTTATATAGTTTTTGAAATCGAACAAAGGATACTCTCCATTAAATAATTCTTGGAAATTAGAAAATGTTGCTTATGTTGAATGGAAGGAGATTTAAATTAAGAGATTAATTTAACCTTCAAGCACATTATAGGACCATTAATAAAATAATCATGTGAA